TCACTGTTGCGTGCTCAACGCCGCTTAACTTCGACTTCTTCGTACGAGGCTGTAAGACTAAATTATGCATGTAAGAAGTGATTAACGGTGGCGAGAAGGGGAACACGAGGAACCTCTTACGTGTAAAAAAAGCATCTGGAATTAAGTAATGACTGACATTGGTAATGTACTCGTTGCTTGCACGATACTCTGTATTAGTATTTCACAGTATGGCGGAACGCATAATTCCGCATCCACTTTCTTGGAACCCACAAGGTAACGAAATCTATTCGTTTAGATTCTACTTTTTCAAACTACTGAAAATATAGTCCCCGTTAAGATTTCCAGGAAATGATGAAAGTTTTTTAAAGTTTTAAAGTCAACTACGTCGTATATTTTTTTTTGCATAATTGAGCAAGCTAATAAGTGAATGGAAAATGTGTAGTGAAGAGAAGGTGAAAGATTCTAAGATGTTAATTAAGAAATCTATACGTAGAAAAACGTCCGCAAAATTCAATCGTTCTCGTTAGTCTGTAATTGTGTCGACGATACATACGTATTTAATCTCGTTTCCTTTAACTTATTTATTGAACTTTGTGATTTCGCAACAACCAAAGAGAAAGATACCTGTTGTGTACTGATAATCGCGTATTTAAACGAGAAAAATAATTTATACTACCCCGAAGAAAAGAAACAGGGGATTCTGATTCGCGTGCACCAGAAAATGAGGGACGTCGTATTCGAACGTGTAGACATCGTGCGAATTTATATCTGTGAGAAAATTATATATGTGTAATGGTAGTAGCAACTCGTACTACAGTATTTGTCCACGTGTATAAAGGGGGAAATTAATCGCGTAGCGTATGTCCGTGTATTTATTTGCCTGTTAACATTTTTGTTCACGAGGACCTAGCATCAAGCATATGTACGTTCTAATAGTAAGCGAAAGAGATAATCGATAGAAGGAAATGTGACACTTTGATATTGGGAGAAATGCCAGGGTCTATCTATAGTAATCTCAAGCTTTGCGTACGCGTACGTTATGTGCACGTGCGTGCATAGATAATCATACGATATTTCGAATATCTCGAATATCTCGATTTCGATGATTTTCGTCGAACAAACGACGGATATTCGGATATTCGAATCAGAGCGATGAACTTGAATATCGTTTACTTGGCTATTTTTCAGGCATCTCCGATCGTATTAATTATTGTAGATCGTTAGATATAATTTCGTTTCCGCTTGTTAGTGAAATTTTGACAACACGTTCGAATAAATTTCGAACAAAGGAGTTCGAAGGAGATTTGACAACAACAAATCACGTATAGTAGCGTATTTAAATAATTGAACTTCTGATCGAGCTTGCTCGATCCATCGAATTATTTCAAATGTTTGTTATAAATATAACGGATTATTCGAGCCGGAATTCGATAAATAAATCGAATTCTATCGAGATTCTATCTTAATCAATAGAAGAGATTTGATTCAACTATTTTGAATACTCAATACATATCGAAATCGAAGTTCGAGTAATCGAATACATATATCTCGAATGCTCTTGAGCGCGCTCGAACTTTCAACATGGTGTACAACACTCTGCTGATACGTATCGTTCAAGTAAACATTTCAAATTTCCCATGAAAGTAACGCCATCGTTTGGGGAAAACAAACATCGAAAGAATAACTAGAAAGTCGAGCGGGAAAATACTATGAAATTTAAGCATTTTTAGGTTAACAATCTGTTGACTAGGATTCTATTAAATCACGTAAGGCGAAAAACGTATGTTACAAAAATCGATCGATTGATTTAATCAAAAGTATCGATTGTTACTTTTTAAGTGTTATTTTTAATGTGCGAACTAACCTCAATTCACGCGGAGATAATTAAATCTCGAAGGTTTGAATTAAAACGCGAACGTGTAATTGGAAAATTACGTTCTAAAAGAATTTATTTTCTAATTCAAGAATCGTTCATACTCGAAACCATGAAGACTACGAGCTCGACGTGCGTTGTAATAGGAAAATTTTTTATCGGGAGCTAAGATTCGTGCGAAAATTGTTTGCGCAAAAGAGAGAAAAAAAAAAAGAAAAAAAAAAGAAAGAACAAACGAACGAGAAACAATGTTCGGTAACAATTATTACGTTAGTCGAATGTCCATCGTGTGTGTAACGTAATTTAGAGGAGAAATAGCGACGTATGTGTTACAAAAAACATTCTTTAACAGAGGACGCCCGAATTGTGATACGTTTATAATGTTTGTAAGCCGATACCTGTTCACGGAACAAATTCATTCAAACGAAGGCCCGTTGTTCAGCGATCGATTCCCGCTCAGCAATATCACTGTTTACACTGCAACGATCTGCATCGATCATTTCTTGTTCTTCACACCTGGTTATTGCACGTACACTCGTTAGCCGCGCGAACGATCACTGACACTGGCGCCATATTCTATCAAGATATCGATACGATTGTATCGATACTTCGAGTTATGAAGTGCTCAACTAGTCAGAGCAATGACTTCATTCCAATTTTTAGTAGAATTTTAAATTCCAAATTAAGACAAAGATTATTTATCGGATAATTTTATACAATTGTACGCTATTTGCATTCAATTTTACTTTTATTGCGAATTTCGAAATTCCACATCACAAACATATCGTCTGATCTTTCTCTTGAATCACGTAGTGCTGAAATATTTTCTTCCGTGAACAAACATCGTGTATCTTGTTAAAACAATAGAAATTATCACGGCAAGTTCACACATACGTGTAACTGAAATGCGTGTGTGTGAATTTCCGACTCGATGTACGATACGTATACACATATTAGGCGAAAATATATAAAGGATATCGTTAGTCAAGAATGGGATCGATTGAACATGAATATTTCTAAGAAAAATATTTCTTTATTTTTAATTCAACGAAGTTTTTTGATTGAAACTTTTATTTTAGAAGAGAAATAACAGAAACGAAAACGTATCTAACAATTCTTGATTAACGATTGACGATCTATTCTTGATTAACGTCGTAACGCATATTTAAATACCCGATATTGCGAGACATCGCGACCGACAAAGCCTCTCGATCGAAATCGAGGAAGCGATAGAGGACAACTTCAAACATATAGTTCGATGATAAAACGGGGACGTGCCGGAAAACTAT